CCACAATATAGCCGTTGAGTACCCGCACCAAAATTTTTCATATGCCCCTACCGGCACGGTGCATGTTTTCGGGCCGTTGAGTACCCACACCAAAATTTTCCATATGCCCCTACCTCTATGGCTACGCGCATGGCGGCCACTTCATTACACTCTCTCTCTCTCTCTCTCTCTCTCTCTCTCTCTCTCTCTCTCTCTCTCTCTCTCTCTCTCTCTCTCTCTCTCTCTCTCACTCACTCATACACACACACACACACACACAAACATGCACACACACACACTATCTCACACATACATACACTTATACACACACACACACACATAAACCCATAAACTATTTTTTTCCTCCTACAAAAAAATCCAAATATATACATTGTTTAATAAAAGAAAATAAATAATAAACAACTAAACTAAATATATTAATAAATAAATAAGTAAATATATATGATGAAATCAATTAATTTTTAACTAAAGTTTATACATATATATATATATATATATAAAATACAAAACTTAAGAATTTTTTGATAATGAAGATTATTGTTTTCCCCAAGGAGGTCCCTATAAAGCCAGTTTAGCAACAGGAAACCAATAGACCAATAGTACCACTGCTTACAATAACAACAACGTATCCCATTAAATATACACAAGTCTCGCACAAATGAGAAAGGTTATGAGACCAACATAACCAATATATTTAAATTAAAAACTGAACCTCAATACGCCACGCGAAACCACAGCTCCCGCAATCCCACAAAAATGAAAAGTCACACCGGTTCAACTGACGTCGTGACAATACCTACAAACCGACTAACAACACCCCCCGGATAACACGGTATGAAAAAAACACACGACTCATCGCCAGAAGCCAGACGCTAAATAATTAGACAAAAACAATATGACAGATACGCCATAGCCCATTGCTCCGCCATGACACTTCTCCGCTATACAACTTGAGTTCGCACTCATCGAGGGTAACCACCTGCGATTGCGCTCATCGCATGTATATTGGCACGAACCATACAGACAAATCCAACTTTGACATTTGCGTTATAGCTCGTTACACCACTTTCCTAGCAAAACGTTGAAACTCAAAGAACCAAAAAAAAAAACCATGCATATCATGACCCAGATCCATACACGCATGCCTGCAGACATTCACCATCATTCCCCCCTTCGCAGTACTACAAGGCTATCCTTCCCTACGAGTACCCTTACACAAAAACAACCCCGAATCATAAACGCACTAAGCTACTCCATCCTCATCCTGCTTGTTCATACACACACACCCTCCTCACCCTACATACTTTACAACCTACTATATACAATGGGGTTCGCATGCACCTCCATCTATTCCGGCCATACCCGCAAATGCCTTGGCAATACGAAACGAACGCGTGTTAGCTGCTTCAGCAAAACATCGCGTTTGGCTCCTTCCATCTACTCCCTTTCTATCTCTTTTCCTCCCTGCTATACGAGCGCCTCCTCAAGCTCGTTTGTACGACAAGACATTGGCGAACGGAGCAAGTTATACCTGACACCTAGCACGCGCACAGAGATTAGCGCCACTAGCGCCATCTGTTGCAGGCAGTGGTAACCTAAGTCTGACAGAGGCGATGACTACCGTCGAAGATGCTTCGTCTTCGCAAGCGCTCCACCTTCAGGTATGATTCTAACCATGCCCTTGTGTTCAACATTGTCATATAAGCTAACATAACAATATTGTTATCTAATGGGAGTCAGAGGATGTCCGTCTGATGAGCTGGTATGGGAACTAGGCATCGAAAAGCGCGCTTAAGGGCGTGTACCCCCCCTTCGGCAACCTTCCAACCAAACCGATCCTAACCATTGATTAACCTCTTAATTGCTCCCCCCATTTACTTCTCCTACAATGAAGAAGACTCTTATGAATGTGTTTATCCTGTTGCTAACCTTGAATTGGTGTATCAAATGGACAAAGGTATGGTTTTGTTTCCCATAATATATGGAATAGCCGTGTTTCGCACACCCACTATGCACACACACACACGTGTGCGTGCACATGACGACTCTCTCTCATACAGACACACACACATTGACTTACCGTGAGGGCACGGGTGCGCAACCCGTAGTTTGTTTCGTTTTGGCTGTGGCGAGGCCCTGTGTGTGTATGCGTGTGTGTGTGTGTGTGTGTGTGTGTGTGTGTGTGTGTG